AATGCTATGGAAAAATTAAGCAAGATGAGAGGATAGGAGGAAGGGAGTGGATTGCAGTTTTAAATAGGGAGGTCAGAGTTGGCCTTATTGTGAAGATAACACTGTTTTTTTGTTATCAGGGGTTTGCATGTACTACCTTCTGGCATGGGAGGATGGGAGAAGGAAGATGAGAGGAAAAAAAGAATGAGAGCCTGCTGATTTGAAGGAGAGCACAAGCATTCCCTTTGGTGTAATGTGTCAAGATATAGACTGATTTGGAAGAGTGAGGCTTTCCAGATGACCTTGTTTTATTTTGTTCAATTTGAGCAAAAATCTTCCTAAAGTGTATTGTACACACCCTGCCTTCCTGAACATTGGATATTGAGTACAGTCCCCCGGCCTGTGACTGATACAGGGGTCATCACCAGACTGTCCCATCTGTTACTGGACTGTCATGGAGCCTGGTCTTCAGGGCTACTTTCAGCTGTTTGCCCCTACACACTGGCCTGAGTGTGAGTGATTGTGAGTTCTTCATAGTAGCCGTGACATGCACATGGCTATTTAAATCTAAACCCAAATTAATTTAAATTAAATTACATTAAAAATTCAGTTTCAGAGCTAGATGGTGCCCGGCTACCACCAATGGCTGCCCCAACAGGGAGCACAACAGAGAGTCCCTGACAGCGCAGGAGAAAAGTAGGGTGCAGAACTCAATTTCTAGTAAAAACACCAGACTTAATGGTCTGACTGAGACTGGAGGAACCCCAGAAGACATGGCCCCTGGACTCTCTGTTAACCAGAACTAAAACCATTCCCAAAGCTAACTCTTCAGACAAAGAATATTCATAAAATGTTACTCGTGAAGAGTGTGCTTCTTAGTTCAAGTAGATGCACAAAACTAAATGGGCACCTCCTGTCCGGAGGCAAGATGAGAAGGCAGAAAGGAATAGGAGCTGGCTGAATGGACACGGCAAATCTGAGGTAGAAAGGAGGAGTGTGCTGTCACATTATAGGAATAGCAATTAGGGTCACATAACAATGTGTGTATAAATGTTTGTATGAGAAACTAACTTGAGCTGTAAACTTCCACGTAAAGCACAATTAAAAAAAAAAAAAATTCAGTTTCTCCATCATGCTAGTCACATTTCAAATGCTCAGTAGCCACATATAGCTAATGGCTACTGTGTTAGCACACAAAGCAGAAAGCGCTATTAGTATTTGTTATTTTATGGTGTTTCTGTCATTCATACACACATACATATACGTATACATACATACATTTATTTATATGTAAATTTTGTGTGTATGGTGCTGTCATCAGTTTTCTGGCCTATCTTTCCCTTTTGATTGGTTGCTTCTCATAGTTACAAGTTTAAGTACCTGTTTAAAATTTTATATAATGTAAGAGAGGACCAGAGGAGCCTTCTTATAAATCAAATACCTGAATTTTAGTACTTGGAATTTATGTTTATATTCTTATTGCATCAAGGCCTTTTTTTCTGGGTTACTGCTTTGCAGCTGTGCTCTGCGTGGGTAAGAGAATCAGACCACTGAGTTACTGTGGGAGAAGTGCTATCAAACTGTAAAGGTAAAATTGCACATCTACGGAAATGCTTTAGACCCAGTCAATGGTCCCTTATTTAGAGCAGTGCCATTCAATGACTATTTATTGACTAACTGCCTACACAGAGGCCAAGCACTGTGTTAGGCCCTGGGGATTCAAACAAAAATGAACATGGCCCCAAGCCCTGAGAAGATCACGGGTTAGGGAGTAAGAAAGCCATAAATGGGCAGAATTTCATTTGTTTAGTGTGCAGGAAGGCCCAGAGTACCCTTTAATTCCAGAGGAGGGTGGTGCATGATCTAGCCTGACTGGGAGTGGGCTGGGGGCATGGGACAAGAGGCAGGAGGCCAGGGAGCACTTCCCAAAGAAGTGGTTCTTGATTGGAATCCTGAGGGATAAATATGTAGGTGTTAGTCGTGTAATAGGAGTCCCTGGGTGGCACAGTTAAGCGCTCAACTACTGACTGAAAGGGTGGTGGTTCGAACCCACCCAGAGGTGCCTTGGAAGAAAGACCTGGCAATCTGCTTCTGAAAGGTCACAACCATTGGAAACCCTATGGAGTGTAGTTCTACTTTACAACACATGGGGTTGCCTTGAATCGAGAACGACTGGACTGTAATTTTTTTTTTTAAGTCACATGATGAAGTTGGGAGAATGTCAGCAAGACATGATATACCATAGTGTACAAAGACACTGAGGGGCAAAATAGCATGCATGGTGTCGGAGGGGGACCGTTAATAGTTTAGTATGGTTGAAGTTTAAAATAAAAGGGATTCAGTGTCTGTAGAGATAGATAAGCTTAAGTGGTATGTTGAAATGATGGATTTTCTGTAGAGGTGGGTGAGGAGTGAGGAGGTGGTGACATAGGCAGATCTGACCTTCCGCTAGTTCAAGTAGGTCAGTCTGGAAGCACTGTGGAGTTTAAATTGGGGGAGCTGGGCTTGTGGCTGGGATATCAGTGGCGGTGGTGTTGTGGGGAGAGACTTGCAATCAACCAAAAGAGAGGTAATGAGGGCCCCATGTGAGAGAGTGTAACGGAATAGAATGGGAATGTGGTTCAATCAATGTTTAAGGGGTAAAATTAGCAGTATTTGGGGATTGATTAGATGTTCAGGATAAAGAAAAGAGAGGGATCAAATATCACTCTAAGCTTTCAGGAAGCAAAATAATTAGAGCTCTTCTTCCAAGTTCGTGGTGGTAAGTTTTTACCTGTAGATGCTACTAGTGACTTTCACTGGCAACTGTGGTCTCTAGGTTAAGATTTGGCTCTTCAGAACTCCATCCCTCTCTCATTTATTAAAAGAACTTAATTTGAAGCTAGACCTTAGAGAAGTACCACCCTTGTATGCCTTTAATTTTGCAGTGGCCTACGAAAATTTATAGAAATATGGCTTCATTTCTAGTGGCTCCAATCCAGATCAAAATTACCCCATCACTGAGACATCCCTTGGGTGGACCACTGAACCTGTTATTCATTAGAAACAGCTGAAACACATCAGCAAAATTCCCATACTATGCCAACAATAACTTCAGTCAAGTTTCAAGGTAACTCCAGGTTTCAGAAAGTTATGAATCTCAAAATCTGTCTAGCCAAACCCTTATTTGTATTTTTACACACATTTCTCATGTGAAAAAGATAGTGGCTTTCTTACTTTCTATAATTGCAAATTAGCTTTTTTGAGATTATAAATTAAGTTTTGAGTTCTGAGTTTTGCTGGAGACATGCTTATAGATCTGTAGCCAATCACTTTAAAGTAAAAATACAAGTTCAGTATGGGGAGGTGGAACCAGAAATAGGAGAAGAGCTAGTCTAAAGCATCTATGACGATGGAGTCGATATTGAAACCAAGAATTCTTTCATACTTGTTATGCATTTCAGAAGGATTTTCAACATAACAGTTAACATTTTTATGACATCTGCTAAGCTTTCAGAATTCTTCTCTAGTTTGTGAGATTAAGGAATAATAATAATAATAAAGAAGTCACACCAAATATATGTTGATGTTTCCATTTTTACTGACATGTTTCATGACTGCATAGCTGAAGCCACAAAACAGTAGGTGCCTATGACTTTCTTTTAGATCGTTATAGCTACTGCACCTAGCCGTTGTTGCTAAATATTTTTTACTTGTCATTTTAACTATTCCATCAAATTGGATCTTCGGTGGCCTGTCAGTTGTTGAATGACTTCTTGGAAGATGTGAAACCCTGATCCCTAATCTAGAAGATCTGGGCAAATCTTCTGCTGCAGAAAGATGGCATATTTTTTTCTCAGTGAAACAACAGGATTATAAGATATTTATACAAAGCCTTCAAAATATTTTTATTTGAAAAATGGTAATGTGTTTGGTGATGAATGAGTAGTCATGCGTAGCTTAATGTCCATAATACAGTCTGTGAAATAAGACGTTATGTGATTTGGATGTTGTGCAAACACCATGTTATATACAGGTGGTCCCTGAATTATGAACAAGTTCTGTTCCTAGGTCTGTCTTTAAATCATATTTGTACATAAGTCGGAATAGTTAGGTATGGTTCGTATCTAACGTCAGGTAGTCAAATGTTTGTCTTAGTATATAGTACGTAGTGTACCTTTCTATGCATAAAAAAGTTAAAGAAATACTTCCAGATACACTAAAACATCTTTTACATAATAATGTTTTGATGCATGTTGCAAAGTAGCTCCTGTTTGTTATTACTTGTATATGCCTTGAATTTTAAGTATAATAGGATTTACAGGGGTTGGTTTGTAACTATGGGTTGTATGTAAAGTTGGTCATTCATAACCCTGGGACTGTCTGCATTACCTTATGGGACCACAGACTGTATTGACTATATTGTAAATCGAGAAGCTTGAGAAGTTTCCATATCCTTTAAGAGTGTTTTGTACAAAAGAGAAAAGAAAACAAGCTCTCTTTTTGTGGTTCTTGGGAGAAGTTACGTTAATTATTTGTTAGAAGTTGGATTTATGAAGAACATTGTCTTTGAAGAGGATTCTTCACAAACTGCCATCCTTTGTATTATGTCAATGTAGGTTGTTTAGCAACATGTTAAACTAGTTTTATGAAGAGATAAATATGTGTTTCATTAATCCCAAGGGGAGCTTTCTGAAATGCATTTTCTTTATAAATAATTACTGTCATTCTGTGAAATTCATGACTTTTTAGGGTGGGAAAGAAGAGAAAAACATTGTCTTTTCAAACAATTTGTGATTTAATACCAGCTGGTCAAGTGAGCTGAAAAACCTTATGAATCATATGTTATATTATCTTGAATGCTTTTTCTCTCTCAGGAAACTGGATAACTCTGACAATCTTTCTCCCATGATTCCAAAACTTTGATCTTCTAAAACCAGTTTACCAGATGTAGTGGATAGAGCATGTGTGACCTTTTGTGTGCCAATTTAACCTGGCTGATCGGAAACCATAAGTTAATCTTGTATGACTTTTATTTCTAGGCATTACAGCAGAAGCTCTGGTGGTGACCTCTTTCAATGAACTGCAGAGAAGGGCCCCAGAAGCCAGAGGGAAGATTGTTGTTTATAACCAACCTTATGTCAACTACTCAACCACAGTGCTATACCGAGTTCGAGGAGCAGTGGAAGCTGCCAAAGTGGGGGCTGTGGCATCACTCATCCGATCGGTGACTTCCTTCTCCATCTACAGGTTAGTCTTGCTGTTCATTTGAACTCCTTCCAAAAAACCAGGATTTTCCATGAAAGAGAAGCCTTAAGAAATAAAAACAAACCATTCAAATGAAAATAGTGACTGTTCACGAGATTTTCCCCATTCCACATTTGATCATTTGTTTATAATATTTTGTTTGGCCTTTTCAGGATTCCAAACAACGTTTTTACCTTTCTTTAAAAAGCTTTCTACATCCATGATGATCCCGTAACATTCCTTGTTTAATGAATATGTTATGTATTTTCATGGAGAGAGAATTAAATTCACGTCTGTGTTTCATCAAATATTCGTAATGGCTTCAGAGGAAGCCAAGCTGTTTTCCACTGTTGTGAGAGAAGTGAAATAAAAATAAAGTGGGTAAAATGATGAAGGCGGGTGGGGAGAGGCGTCTGTAGTGTGATGGAAAAAGGTTAGGTTATTAGAGGACCTGGGATATACAGGCCTGGCTATGCCACCAAACAGCTGTGTGGCCTTGGGAATGTTTCATAAACTCTCTGGACCTCAGCTTTCTCCTCTGTTAACCAGTGATGAGGAAGAATAATAAGTATACACAATTGTTTTAAGAATTAAAGAGATAAATTTATGAAAAATAATTAACTACAAACGTCTGTGTAAGGGTTTGGAAGTACTGTTTGCCACCATGTGTCTGTCAGTTTGTCGTCATGTGGTGGCTTGCATGTTGCTGTGATGCTGGAAGCTATGGCACTGGTATTTTAAATACCAGCAGGATCACCTGTGGTGGACAGGTTTCAGTGGAGCTTCCAGACTAAGACAGACTAGGAAGAAGGACCTAGCAGTCTACTTCTGAAAGAAACTGGCCAGTGAAAACCTTATGAAAGGTCACAACCATTGTCCGATATAGTGCTGGAAGATGAGCCGCTCAGGTTGGAAGGCACTCAAAATATGACTTTGGAAGAGCTTTCTTCTCAAAGTACAGTCTACCTTAATGACATGGATGGAGTCAAGCTTTCGAGACCTTCATTTGCTGAGGTGGCATGACTCAAAATGAGAAGAAACAGCTGCAAACATCCATTAATAATTGGAATGTGGAATCACAAAGTATGAATCTAGGAAAATTGGAAGTTGTCAGAAATGAAATGCAACACATAAAGACTGATATCTTAGGCATTAGTGAGATGAAATGGACTAGTATTGACCATTTTGAATCAGACAATCATATGGTCTACTATGCTGGGAATGAGAAATTGAAGAGGAATAGTGTCATATTCATCATCAAAAAGAACATTTCAAAATCTATCCTGAAGTTCAGTGCTGTCAGTGATAGGATAATAGCCATGTCCTACAAGGAAGACCACTTTAATACGACTATTATGCAGATTTACACAACAACCAAACCAAAACTCAAACCCATTGCCATTGAGTTGATTCTGACCCATAGCAACCCTATAGGACAGAGTAGAACTGGCCCATAGGGTTTCCAAGGAGTGCCTGGTGGATTAGAACTGCTAATCTTTTTGTTAGCAACTGTAGCTCTTAACCACTAAGCCACCACAGGTTCACACACCAACCACTAATGACAAAGGTGAGGAAATTGAAGATTTTTGCCAATTTCTACAGTCTGATCAAACATGCAATTAGGGTACATATAATTACTGGTGATTAGAATGCAAAAGTTGGAAACAAAGAAGAAGGAGCTGTAGTTGGAAAATATGGCCTTGGTGATAGAAACTATGCCAGAGATCACATGGTAGAATTTTTGCTACACCAACAGCTCATTTCATTGCAAATACCTTTTTTCAACAACATAAATGGTAACTATATACGTTGACCTCGGTGGATGGAAAACACAGGAATCAAATTGACTACATCTGTGGAAAGAGAAGGTGGAAAAGCTCAATATCGTCAGTCAGAACAAGGCCAGGGGCGGACTGCAGAACAGAACATCAATTACTCATGTGCAAGTTTAAGGTGAAGCTGAAGGAAATTAAAACAAGTCCATGAGAATCAAAATACGACCTTGAGTATATCCAACCTGAATTTAGAGACCACCTCAAGAACAGATTTGAGGGGCAGCATAGCGCTATATAGGCAGAAGCACCATGCCGTCCCTCCACAGCAAAGATCCGAAAAACTAAGCCAAACAGAGAAAACGGCAATCCTGAAACCCTAAGCATCAAATGAAGAGATGAACTCCGCCAAGCCCTGAATGGAATAAGAAACTGACAGAGAACAGAGAGTGGGGAGAGATATATGCAGAGGTCCCCTATCACCTAATGCAGCTTGGATCCACCATCTTGGACTCCTATCAGAGATCAGCGAACAGGGGGTATGAGAAAGCAGCTTCATGGAGCTTCCAACAGGAGACAGAACAACCAGTAACCAGCGATATATGCTTTCCCACCTCCCACCCTTTTTCACCCCCACCAGCCTCCTCTGCTTCCTGTGTCCACTGTCTTGGCCGGGAAGCACCACCTTCACCCCAGTGTCGCTTGGGTTCCAACCGCCCACACTGGCCGGCTCCCTAAGTGCCATTTGTTGGCTGCTGGTGTTGCTTTATTCTGCTTCTTTAGATTTCTTCCTTACCTCTCACCACTTTTGCCTCCTTTCTCTCAAATACCTGGCTCCGTGTGCCATCTTTGCTTCTTCCAGACAGGCTGCGAAATGCCACTTGAATGTGAAACTGCTTCCTGGCCCGTGCTGCCACACTGGTGGGATTCCGGGGCTTTTTTAATTTGTTTTGAATTGTTTTCTTTTTCTTTTCTCGAATTGGGAGCCTGTTCTAGGCAGGCAGTACTGTGTGTCTTGGAATCTCAGTTTGCGCAGATGTGCAGAAGGATCCCCAAGGGCATTTCTTTTTTCTTGTTTTCTTAGGGGGGCTTTTCTTCTGTTTTTCTTTGGGGGTTTTTCTTGTTTTTTTTTTTTTTTATTTGTTTGTTTTGTTTTCTTTTCCCTCTTTTTGCCTTTTTGTCTTTCTTCATTACTCAGTTTCTCGTCTCTCTATACTTTCCTTCTTTTCCTGTCCCCTGAATACCTAGCGCTGAGCGACACCTCTACCCCTTCTAGCCAGGCTGTACTTCACGGCCTGGAAGCAACTTCCCCAGACCTCGCAGTCGCACCGGAGGGATCCCTGGGAGCTTTGCTTTTCTTCTTTCTTTCTAATTTTTAGTTATTCATTTTTTTCTTTTCTTTTCTTCTTCTCCTTTTTGTTTTTCTCCATTTCATAGTCTCTCATCTCCCCACTCCAACAGCAAGCTCCCCTAGCACTCTTTTTTGTTTGTTTATATATTTTTGGCTCCCGTTCCTCTCTCCTCTCTCGCATACCCATCTTAGCTCCACAGTCTACCCCCTCCATTCTGCCTACCTGTACTGTGCAGTGAACATCATACCACCAAGCAGCCCAGGCACGGCCTACCAGAACCTGCCTTGCACTGATTACTGGCTCGCCCTGTTGGCCTTAGTGTTTGCCACAAACAACCCATCCCAGCAACTCCTCTTCAGCTAGACCTGCCCTGCTGTACCATATCTGAGCAACTAACCCTGCCAATTGGAGAAGGAGGTGAAAAGTATAGTGCCCAAAGATGAGCAAACAACAAAGAAAACACAGCCCACCTGCTCAGACATAGCCAAATAAAACAAAAAAGCGGAATGAAACAAACAAATCTACAATCAATAAATGAGGAAAATAACTACCGGATGCCCCGAAGACAGCAGACAATATCAAAACATTTATAAATATAGGACAGGATGGTCCCAGTAGGCATCCAAAATAAAACACCAGATGACTTTCCAGTAGAAGAAAAGGCACTAGAACTACCCGATAGGGAATTCACATCTCTAATAGTCACAGCTATCCAAGAGTTGAAGCAAAAAGCAGACAAAAATGAGGAAGAAATAGACAAACTCAGGGAAAATACAGTTAAAAAAATGGAAGAATTCAGGAAAATAATGCAGGAACAAAATGCCAAAATAAATTCACAACTAGAAATCATACAAAAACAACAATTAGAAATCCAAAAGATA